AAAGAATGTTCACACTCATGTTTTACTCTATTATTCAATCTAACTTCAAAATCGAAATCCATTATAGAGGTTTTGAATTAATTTCTTTTCTTTTTATGTTAATGATAACAAGGAATGATAGATTAGTAAAATCAAATTTGGTGTAGACAAAACATCTAGAGCTGTTTTGGTTTAAGATTATGAGCTTAATTTGTTAGATATTAAGCTTGAAATGATGAATAATAGAACTTATTTATGTTAACAAGATGAGTTTGGAACCATGCACATTGTTTTGCTTTCATAGTTAGGAACAATTTCTTTTAATTGGAAGATAGGGATAACCAAATGCAATAAAACTTTGAGATGAGAGTTGATATGATATAATGGATTGACATGGGTATTTTTCATCTTCTTTCAAATTTTCTTTTTCTTAGCTATTCATGGTTATTAGAGTTTTAAGAGGAGGAGATGATTGTAAATTCAAATTTGCAAGGAATCAACATGTACTGGCATTTTTTTTTTAATGAGAACATGAACTAATTTTAAGTAGGCTTAATTCAACAATTCTTGCCTTTGAAGTCAAATATAAAATACTTGAACATTGCTTCAAGGGTGAGCATAGATCAACTTTTGATGGTCTTCAATTAATGATTGGAAAGATGGTGTTTGGAAAAAAGACAAAGCATTTGAGGTATGTAGGTTTTCATTTTGTGATTCTACAAGCTTTTCACATTTTAGTTTAAGGTATGAGTCTTCTTCTTCCTCTTTACCAACTTTGCCTTAACCAATTGGCTGGATGTTGTGAGTTCATTTCATTTTCTTTAAATTTCTTCAATGAATTGTATTTATCTTTTTGCCCCTTCAATTTTCTTCTTCTTCTTCATCTTCCCTATTAATACAGAAGGAGATAATTATTTCTCATTTTCTAAATCTCTTTTCACTCTCATGGTTTGTTTCAAAATTTTGAATTTAAAACTTTTGAACTTAAAATCTCAAACTCTTCTATAAGTAGCATAGATGGAAATGGAAATAAAAATATGAAGTGAAAGTTGTTCACTCTGGGAATATTGTCTAAGTAGTAGGTTTTGCTATACAATTTAACTACATATGTATTATGTTAGCATGTACATGATGGAGACTTGCAATCTTATTTCATAGGTTTCCTATAACTTTAGTTGTATAATTTTCTTAATATAACTCCTTTTGCAAGTTGAAACATGTTAATCATTTCATAGTTGTTATGGTGGCATTTGCACCTTCATGAGTGTGCAGAATGAAGAAAACTCAAGGTTTGGCCACAAAACACCACCTTTATATATATATATATATATTTTTTTTTTATCACAAAAATATACCAACATCATCTTCCCAATGAAAAACATCAAAATTATCTATATATTTTTCTCACTTAGATATACTCTTTTTTAATGCCTTTATCCGAAGATGGTTTGTTGGGAGAAAGGCAACACAAGATATTAATCCTTATTCTTCTGTGGATATTCTTTTTACTCTTGAAGGTTATCCAGGTTCTTTTGCATTGTGTGCTTCAGCTTTTAAGCCTTTTATATATCGAGAGTGTTGAAAAAATATTAAAAATAACAAATGATCAATGGTGTTTCATTTTTTGTTGCAAGAATCAGTTAGTTATTCATGGTTAAACTAAGATAACGGACTTCACTATTTAGCCTTGACAATGTTTTATGAGCCTATAATTGATATGCCTTATGCAATGTGAAAATGTCTTTTAGGAAATATTGAAGACATGGGAATTTTACATTAAGAGTTGCATTATATTGGATACTCAATTGAGTGATTTGATTGTGTGTCATTGAAAGTTCCAAACTTTGACTATGAATATGTAAGGACTTTATTTTAGTTATTATTGTATACTTAACTGAGCCATTTTTCCTATCTCATTCTCTCATCTTTTGCTTCTTTTTTTTTTTTTTTTTTAACAAAATTGGAAAGATAGAAATTCATGCAATCTAAAAGCCTTTCATAGAATTCTCTATTTTTTGTTAGAATCTATGTATTTTGATTTTTGTGAAACGTATGGAACTATAGCCTCTGTTATATTATCAAAAATTTTACAAGCTCTAATCCTTATGTGTTCATTTAAAATTGACCTATTCAATATTGGACCATTCAAAGTTGGACCTGACACCATACCCTACAACATGAGGTTGTTTAACTAACTTAATAATAAATGTAGCAACAACAACATACTTTATATATAATTCATTGATCATCTTGGGTTGCCATTGAACATCTTTTTGAATCGTGCCACCTTCAATGTTATAATCACAAGTATCCAGTGTTGGACATCATCCACCCATTGAAAGTAAGCATATCTCCAACTTTTCACGAAAATCAAAGTTCCCACAACTCCCCAAAATCCAATTGCAAAGCCTAACATCACGATAATGTAAAACCACATTCTTTTAAGTGCACTTTCATCATTGTCCTTGAAGTCGGCGGTTGTCGGAGGTAGTGCATCACTTAAGCATTTCTTCACGAGTGGAGCTCCACAGAGTTGAGGATTGCCTACATACATGGTTGGATCTTCAAGTGTTTGGAGCTGAAAACCTGTTGGAATTGGCCCTGACAAGTTGTTGTAGGACAAGTTGAGGTGGCTTAACTTGGTTAAACCTGACATGCTACTCAGGATTGTTCCTGAGAAGCCATTCTCAGAGAAATCGAGAGATTCCAAATTCTCCATTTGTCCAATTTTCTCAGGGATTTGTCCTGAGAGATGATTCCAAGACAGATTCAAATTATGCAAATCCTTGAGGGAAATTAGCTCCTCTGGTATAGATCCTATTAGATTGTTACTCGAAAGATCTATACTAGTCTCAAATCTTAGAGGTTTGCTTTTATACTCAAGGTATTTCCCTTTAACAACTTCCATCAAAGTTGCAAGTTCCCAATTTACATTGTCGCTCTCATAGATCAATTGCGTTGCATTCACCATAGTTAGAAACTTTCCAAAACAAGGAGGAATTCTTCCTGTTAGATTGTTATCTGCAAGATCTAGAATTTGCAAATGAGAGAGAGAGCATAGTTCCAAAGGAATATAACTGGAAATCAAATTTTTTCGTAATCGAAGAACCTTTAAAGAGTAGTTGCCGATCTTGCTCCCTACAATGCTTGTTAAATTTCCAGAAAATGTATTTTCACCCAAATCCAAAATCACTAAAAAAGGGAAGTTTTTCAAGGCCACATGTAATCCCCCATGGAGACTGTTGTTGTTCAACTGCAGTATAATTAAAGAAGAAAGTCGTGCCATTTTGCTCGGAAATAAACCCGAGAGATTGTTAGAAGATAGATCAATATAATTGAATGATTGATTGTTTCTCCAACAATTAGGAATATTTCCGGATAACATATTTTTTGAGAGATCAAGAAGTCCCAAAGATTTTGAATTGCATAGTGACTTTGGAATATTTCCAGATAACATATTATTTGAGAGATCAAGGTCTAGCAAATATTTTAAATTGAATAGTGACTTTGGAATTGAACCGTTCATGAGGTTATTTGCAAGATATAATCCATTCAACATTGGCATCATAAGACTTATATTTTTTGGAAGAGGACCTGAGATGCTAGCATTAGAGAGATCAACTATGATTGCTGTCTTTTGTAATTCAAGCCATTCAGGAAATCCTATTCCAAATTGATTGCTAGAAAGAACTATGATCTCTAACTTAGAAAGTTGTCCGATGCTATTTGGAATCCTCCCGCTTAATTGATTGCCAGAAAGATCTATTCTCCATAACTCAGAAAGTTGCCCGATACTATCTGGAATACTCCCACTCAATTGATTGTTAGAAAGATCTATTTCCTCTAACTTAGAAAGTTGCCCGATGCTATCTGGAATACTCCCACTCAATTGATTGTTAGAAA